CGCCTGTTATAAACTAAATTAATTAATAATTATCTTAATAATTATCTTTATAATTATTAAAATAATTATTAATTAATAATAAATTAAGTAATATACAATTCACAATTCACAATAAACAATTCACAATTTTACATTGATGTAACCTACTTGTAAATTTTCAGCCGCCGCTTCAGTTAATAAATTCTTTTGTTGTAAATGCTTTACTAAATCTGTCAGTGTTGTGATACGAGCAACTAATCTATTGCGAGCTTGCTGCAAAGTTTTTATTTTTCGTTGTTGTTGTTTGATAGTCCATTTTGCTAACTGCAAAGCCCTTCGAGCTTTCCTAGGTGTATCTAAATGTGGAGTTCTGATTTCGTTAACAAAACGAGGATCACGTACAGTCTTCGTAGGTGTTTGCCAGTTTGAGCCTAAAATAGCTCCATTTCTCACAGGTGTGGACGGTTCACTATTGACAACATATAACAATCTTTTAACTTTCGTAGCTGAGTCTGGTGTTCTAATGGGACTGACACAAGCCTTTGGAGGTGTTTGGCACTTCGACAATTGAATACTATCACAACTTTGCAGAGTACATTGAGTATCTGTCATTAAAGTATCTAGAAAGTCATCAATCATTAAAAATAATTAGTTATTTTTAATTCGTTCTAAGCAAATATGTACATAAAATCAGTATTATTCATTATTACTTACTAACTAATACATTGCAATGGACGTTTTTATTGTCAGTAGCATTATATTTCTGTTTTGTGTTATCATAAATTTCATTAAGAGTAGAATTTGATTGTTCAGATATTGTCTTCTTCTTTATATGAACAGACGGTATAGCATTGGATTTTAGCACTATATCTTTACTAAGTTTTTTCTTCAATTCTTCACGAAAATGATTTGAACATAGTCTAGTAGCCGCGTTCAGAATATGTTCATCGATTTCACAGAATTCTAGCCACTGCTTACGAATTTCCTTTTGCTTAGGAAATCTATTAATACGATCCATAATTAATTGTATAATTTATAATATATATGTATATGAAAAAATATTGCATTGTATTTATTAGTCTTTATTAAACTGACACAAAACCTAACCTATATTTTATCACATTTTAGACTTTACATAATAAATATTTACTTACGCATGATAGGAAACAGATTTCTTGCGATTTCCGCATAAAATGCAATACACCGATTTTGAATATGTATTAGACATTTTATCAAATTTTATCAATTGATATTCAATATATCGCTATATTCACCAATTTTCACGGAGCAGTAAGCAGTTCTGACATTAAGAGTAGAAAGTGTCGAAATTGTGGTGCAAGTGATGATTTTGACGCATGCGCAGAGAGGACAAGTATCATTCTATAGCTTTCTCTCTCACACAGACTTTGGACACACCTTCGACCTAAAGGAAACAATAGCAATTCCTCCTCCATGTCTATATACTCAAAGGATTAGACTGTTCTCTGATTGGTTGATTTGGTACAAGGGTATGGTTTGTTTTAGTGGATGTTGAAGGGGGATTACTTGGCGAGTGGGGATCAGTGGTTGATTAGTTGATTTGAGGATTACAAATGAGGGTTTGTGAACTGGCCTTAAGGTTTTAGGGGCGTAAGAAGGTGGCTTGGCTTTGCATGGGTAAGCTGATGGCAGGTGGAATGCGCACGTGTGTTTTTGAGTCGTCGATTTGAAGGTTTAAGATACTGGTTGCTGATTGGTCGAGATGGATTAAGGGTCCGGCTCGGATTTATGGCTGTAGGGGCGAGTTGGACAAGGTTCGGTGACTATGATTCGTTAAGGTTTTCATGGTTTGGGAGTCTTGTTAAGGCTGTGGCTGAATTGACCAATAGGGTTCCGTCTTGAGGAGGCGTTTATACGTGAGCATATGTTAGTGGGTTTAAGTACGCTCAGTAATGAACTTAACGTGATCGCGTCGGGATAATATTAAGCGTTTATAGAGCGTTGGTGATTTTTTAGTGGAGTAAAGATAATAATAGAATAATTAATAAAAAAAAATGTTCTAGGTGTAGCGGGGACGTGACATGTAGCGGGGACGTGACAACACACAAAATGTATCTGTTGCATCTCGTGATATGAAAATTTTAATTCTTTTTTACAGTTACTTGTCATATTTTCAAGTAAATGCCGAAGTGTTATCTAACTTAATAAATTGATCTAAAGACAATATTACTATAATTACGTATACAGGAGCTGTAGTAATGTATAGTATGTAATTCTTAGGATCGAGGCAAGACGAAATTGGAGAAATAACGATACCGCAACTCAAACAAATATATTTATCCGCATTTAATAAGTTTGTAACGATGCACCCCCAGAGAATGCATCGTACCCGGCATAACACCCGTCGGACGCCGCTGCATTGCAGCGATGAGGGCGCGGTGCGCCCGAACATTTTAAACGAAAGCAAAATTCACAGGTACCAGCCGACGACTCGCGAAAGCGACCGAGGGTCGCCGAACTCGCGGCGTTGATCCCCGCTCGCAACGCGGGTCTCCCACTCGTTTTGTCTAGCCGGCGGGAATTTTCGAGCGCGCCCGGAACAATACGAGTGGGAGCAACATTCGGGTATAAAAGCCGGGAATTTTTAGAAACGACAGCTTTTTCTCGACATCAAGCTCAAAACCACGCGTCCGCTCCAGCTCCTGCTCCTAGCAAACCGACTGTGCTAAAGAAACGAGGGATCAAGCGTTCTTGGTCTCTCTTGGAGAGTTCTCCAATAGCACCGATCGGATCCTTTAAATGCACTCGATCCGAAAGACGACCAGGGTACCTATCATGGAGATTTTACAAATCCGATCGGAATTGCGAGATTCCGACTGGCGAGTTTCCGACCGCGATTCCGCTCATACGGTTTTGCTATCATGGATCCCAAGCAGAATCGGCTTTCCGACCATTTCTGTCAATTCGGAATCAACATAAATGAAACGAGAGGAACGGGCGAAATGGACTTTTGCGACCAATTACAATGCAAGTCTAGAAGAAAAGTAACTAAATTCAAAATGTCGGATACACTGTGAAAAGCATAGCAACAAGTGGCAGTGAGCAGTATAGAATATGTAAGAATTTCTTAATAATTTTTATTAAATATTTATTAAATTATTGTCAGAAATGGAAAAATACAAAATATTACAGATTGATACTATCTGACATTGAAAACATCAAGATGACAGATAATGTAAGTAATATAATATAATCACCTAAATTACGAGAAGCACCTAATTTGATCAAAGTTAGACGTTGAACTTAATATACATACATATATCTCCTTAAATGAATTTATTATAGAATTATAATTGCGTGTCGTTACTTTCAAACTTTTAACGCAATTCATCTTTAGATTTCTTCGTTATTTGAATTTGTGTATTCATATCGTCAGGCTATATATAAAATATATATATATATATATATAT